TACCTATCTAAAAGAAACCAATTTCTACTATAATATATAAACCATTAGTGTTACGAACCTACTAATACCGCATAAAACATAACAGATAATAACTTACCAGACACGCAGCCAATGATCACAGCAATCGAAGCTGCAAAAAAAAAAAAAAAAAAAAAAAAAAAAAAATAATATAATAATAATAATAATAATAATAATAATAATAATAATAATAATAATAATAATAATAATAATAATAATAATAATAATAATAATAATAATAATAATAATAATAATAATAATAATAATAATAATATAATAATATAATAATAATAATAATAATAATAATAATAATAATAATAATAATAATAATAATTAATAATAATAATAATAATAATAATAATAATAATAATAATAATAATAATAATAATAATAATAATAATAATAATAATAATAATAATAATAATAATAATAATAATAATAATAATAATAATAATAATAATAATAATAATAATAATAATAATAATAATAATAATAATAATAATAATAATAATAATAATAATAATAATAATAATAATAATAATAATAATAATAATAATAATAATAATAATAATAATAATAATAATAATAATAATAATAATAATAATAATAATAATAATAATAATAATAATAATAATAATAATAATAATAATAATAATAATAATAATAATAATAATAATAATAATAATAATAATAATAATAATAATAATAATAATAATAATAATAATAATAATAATAATAATAATAATAATAATAATAATAATAATAATAATAATAATAATAATAATAATAATAATAATAATAATAATAATAATAATAATAATAATAATAATAATAATAATAATAATAATAATAATAATAATAATAATAATAATAATAATAATAATAATAATAATAATAATAATAATAATAATAATAATAATAATAATAATAATAATAATAATAATAATAATAATAATAATAATAATAATAATAATAATAATAATAATAATAATAATAATAATAATAATAATAATAATAATAATAATAATAATAATAATAATAATAATAATAATAATAATAATAATAATAATAATAATAATAATAATAATAATAATAATAATAATAATAATAATAATAATAATAATAATAATAATAATAATAATAATAATAAATAATAATAATAATAATAATAATAATAATAATAATAATAATAATAATAATAATAATAATAATAATAATAATAATAATAATAATAATAATAACGGCACTCTGCAGACCAGAAAGATCGCAATAAATCGAGGAATTTTTCAAGGGGACTCTTTATCACCACTACTTTTCTGTGTTAGTCTCGTCCCTCTAACCAATCTTATCAACAAACAAAACCTAGGCTATGAGAAATCTGAGAACAATAAAGTCAGTCATCTCATTTATATGGATGACCTTAAAACATTTGTAAAAAACGAGGAAGAGCTAAGACAAGCACTGCACATCATTAAAACATTTAGTGATGATATCAAAATGGAATTTGGCCTAGATAAATGTGGAACTGTAATAACTAAACGCGGCAAGTATTCCCACAGCCAAAACATTCAGCTAAACGATGGATCAGTTATCAAAAATCTGGAACAAGATGATATATACAAGTATCTAGGAGTAGATGAATGCAGTGACATCCAGCACGATCAAATGAAAATTAAAATTAAGAAGGAATATTACCGTCGATTGCGTCTTGTGCTTAAGACCCATCTTAACTCGAAAAATAAAATGAAAGCAATCAACAGCTTAGCAGTACCAGTGCCCACATACAGTTTCGGAATAATAGACTGGAGGCGAGATGAAGTCAAAGAAATGGATAGAAAAACACGTAAACTACTAACCTTGCATGGAATTCATCATCCAAAAGCCGATGCAGACAGAATATACATCAAACGAAAAGATGGTGGGCGTGGTTTATCCGAGCTCGAATCAGCCTATGGTATTGCAGTAACTGGCCTCAGCAAGTATGTGGTACAAAGTAACGACAGATTAATAAAAATGGTAAATAGGCATGATAATAATAAATCGAAATACTCTCTGACCCAACTAGCAAGTACCATTAAAGACCGCTATATACAGCCAACAAAACAAAGTGCTGATAATTTGAGATGCGAAATAGCAGACAACTCCCACAAACTGAGAGATGCCATCGAACACGACAGGATAGAACGTGTAAAGAAAAAACCACTACACGGTCAATTTCTCAAATACTTAAATCAGCCACATGTAGACAAAGATGCCAGTATAGCGTGGCTACGTGGATCAGACCTGAAGGGAGAGACCGAAAGTTTGATAATCGCAGCTCAGGATCAAGCCTTAAACACCAGATATCACCAAAATCGAATACTTGGTATACAAATAGACAGCAGATGTAGAATGTGTGGAAAAGCAGAAGAGACAACCGCGCATATACTAAGTGCATGCACCACACTTGCTGCTACCGAGTATACTCATCGGCACAACAAGGTAGCTTGTTATATACATTGGTCAATCTGCAAACAACTTGGAGGTGAAGTACCCGACAAATGGTTCGAGCATGTACCAATGCCAGTGGTAAATATACAGGAAATCACAATCATGTGGGATTACCCTATACGAACAGATCGGACCATTAACGCCAACCGCCCCGATATAGTATACCACAATAGAAAAGAAAAGATCTGTTTACTTATTGACATCGCTATTCCCAGTGATCAGAACATCATGGTTAAAGAGGCGGAGAAAATTTCCAAATACAAAGACCTTCAGATAGAAGTTCAGAGAATGTGGAATGTAAAGGCCAAGGTTGTGCCAGTAATAGTAGGGACTTTGGGGTTAATCAAAAGAGGATTTGGTGACCATCTAAAACAAATCCCCGGTAAAGCAAATGCATACGAAGTCCAGAAAATAGCATTGTTAGGGTCTGCACACATCCTCCGAAGAATACTAACCTGATATGAAGCCTAAAAAAAAAAAAAATATATTTACAACCTATTAAAATCCCAAGAGCTTTGGTAAAGCTTCGGATAAAACACCTACCCAGCTGCTCGAGACTGAGGTAGTGCAACAAAACAATAATAATAATAATAATAATAATAATAATAATAATAATAATAATAATAATAATAATAATAATAATAATAATAATAATAATAATAATAATAATAATAATAATAATAATAATAATAATAATAATAATAATAATAATAATAATAATAATAATAATAATAATAATAATAATAATAATAATAATAATAATAATAATAATAATAATAATAATAATAATAATAATAATAATAATAATAATAATAATAATAATAATAATAATAATAATAATAATAATAATAATAATAATAATAATAATAATAATAATAATAATAATAATAATAATAATAATAATAATAATAATAATAATAATAATAATAATAATAATAATAATAATAATAATAATAATAATAATAATAATAATAATAATAATAATAATAATAATAATAATAATAATAATAATAATAATAATAATAATAATAATAATAATAATAATAATAATAATAATAATAATAAAGCCTACACAGAACACGAGGCTAATGGCCGTAGTAGTCGACGCCGATGACACCAAATTAAAAAAAAAAAAAAAAAAAAAAAAAAAAAAAAAAAAAAAAAAAAAAAAAAAAAAAAAAAAATAATAATAATAATAATAATAATAATAATAATAATAATAATAATAATAATAATAATAATAATAATAATAATAATAATAATAATAATAATAATAATAATAATAATAATAATAATAATAATAATAATAATAATAATAATAATAATAATAATAATAATAATAATAATAATAATAATAATAATAATAATAATAATAATAATAATAATAATAATAATAATAATAATAATAATAATAATAATAATAATAATAATAATAATAATAATAATAATAATAATAATAATAATAATAATAATAATAATAATAATAATAATAATAATAATAATAATAATAATAATAATAATAATAATAATAATAATAATAATAATAATGATAATAATAATAATAATAATAATAATAATAATAATGATAATAATAATAATAATAATAATAATAATAATAATGATAATAATAATAATAATAATAATAATAATAATAATAATAATAATAATAATAATAATAATAATAATAATAATAATAATAATAATAATAATAATAATAATAATAATAATAATAATAATAATAATAATAATAATAATAATAATAATAATAATAATAATAATAATAATAATAATAATAATAATAATAATAATAATAATAATAATAATAATAATAATAATAATAATAATAATAATAATAATAATAATAATAATAATAATAATAATAATAATAATAATAATAATAATAATAATAATAATAATAATAATAATAATAATAATAATAATAATAATAATAATAATAATAATAATAATAATAATAATAATAATAATAATAATAATAATAATAATAATAATAATAATAATAATAATAATAATAATAATAATAATAATAATAATAATAATAATAATAATAATAATAATAATAATAATAATAATAATAATAATAATAATAATAATAATAATAATAATAATAATAATAATAATAATAATAATAATAATAATAATAATAATAATAATAATAATAATAATAATAATAATAATAATAATAATAATAATAATAATAATAATAATAATAATAATAATAATAATAATAATAATAAATAATAATAATAATATATACGTAGTTAGTCTCGAACGATTCCCTGTGAGAACCAGGCAACACTCACTTGTAATTTGCCTTTCCGTAGTAAGGGAGCACTGCTGCGGTGGACCTTTAGTTCTGCCCAACTCGTGGGAATTATATGGAGTCTTTAAAAAGCAATGAACCTAATTTGGATTTAGGGGCTGGATCCAAAGCTAACGCTACACAGCACCAAACAATAACGAATCAGGAGACGATGGGCCCTGCACATCGGTTCTTGATCGTTAAGAGAAAAGAAGGGGATTTCAATAATACGAACCCCTTTCTAATACAAAAGTTTATTTATGGAAAAGTTGGAGAGTTAGAAAACCTAAAGAAAATTAAAGATGGATTACTGATAGAAACAAAGTCTGCAGCACAGTCAAAAGTATTATTAGCTATGAAAAAATTTTTAGAATATGATATAGAAGTATTACCACATAATAGATTAAACTATGCTAAAGGTGTTATAAACTGTCGGGATCTTCTGAACTGTACGGAACAGGAAATTCTAGATGAAGTTAAAGATCAAGGAATTATTGAGATTAGAAGAATTAAGATGGAACAAGATGGAGTACTAGTTGATACGCCTAACCACATTATAACATTTAACTCGACGAATCTACCAAAGGAAGTTAGAGTAGCTTTTTACCAATTAAAAGTGCGCCCGTATATTCCAACCCCCTTTCGTTGTTTTCGCTGTCAAAGATTTGGCCACACGGCTATAAGGTGTACTAAGGATCAAGTGTGTGTTTGTGGGAAACCAATTCATACTGGCAATCCATGCTCGCCTCCTGTGAGTTGTATTTACTGCCAAGGTCCACATCCTGCTATATCTAAGAACTGCCCTATATTTAAACAAGAGGTCGCTATACAGGAAATAAAAACCAAAGAAAATCTGTCATATTTTGAGGCAAAGAAAAAAGTAGTCATAAATACGCCAAATCCAAATTTTTCATATTCTAACGCCAGTGCTTCGTCATCAATACCCGTTCCCCAATCCTTTAAATCTCAGGACCTTTTAAAAGATTTAATTCCGCTTCTTATTAACGCTCTCAAAAATAATTTTACTATTGTCCCTATTTCACCTTCTAGTATTCCTCTTTCCTCTGACTTGTCAAAAATGCCTCCACCAATGGAAATCTCCCAAGAGTCAAATCTATCTCAAATGTCCAAGCGTGGCAGAACAGATAGTTCTGATTTAGATTCCACCTTTAGTGAAACATCATACAAGTCCCAAACTAAAACCAAGAAGAAGAAGAAGAAGAAAAAGGGCTGGCCCAAGGGCGTGCATAGGAAAGAAAGTCTAGAATCCGACATAGGAAATGAGATACTAAAGCACCTACCTTTAGGAGGTAGTGAGTCACAGTAATAATCTTCTTTGAAAATAAAACACATATTTTTACATTTAAAACTATATTTATACATATATTTTATTTATTTACCATTTATATATATATATTTTTTTTTATTATTATTATTATTATTATTATTATTATTATTATTATTATTATTATTAATTTTTATATTTTATCTATTCTACAACCCAAATGAATAATTACACCAAATTTATTCAGTGGAATTGTAATGGTATACGGTTACATATCTCGGAGTTACAAATTATTAAAAACAACCTCACTCCGTTAGTCTTAGCCATCCAAGAAACACATCTAAAGCCAACGGAAAGTTTTACACTCCGTGGCTTTAGCGTTTTTCGTAAAGATGTCGAACCAGATTATAGAGCAAGAGGTGGTGTTGCAATTTTTCTTAATGAATCAATACCTGCAAAAGAAATTAGTGTAAACACCAGAGTACAAGCTGTTGCTATACAAATAGAAGCTCCAATAAAGATTTCCATTTGTAATATTTATCTTCCAGATACACATTGGCATATCCAAGAGATCGCAACGATTTACTCAGACAGCTACCCCAGCCATTTCTTATCATGGGAGACTTTAATGCACATTCTCCTCTATGGGGCTCCCTTACTAGAGACACCAGAGGTAGACGTATTGAAACTTTAATTGAAGAAGAAAATATATATATCTCCTAAATACCGGTCAATACACTCATTTTAACTCTAGATCCAACTCTTTTTCGGCAATTGATTTATCTCTTTGTTCCCCTAATATAGCTCCCCGTTTCTCGTGGTGTCCTTTGGGTGATCTTTATTCTAGTGACCACTTTCCCAACCAAATTAAAATAGACATTCCTAATCAGTCCATTTCCATTGCTGAAAGATGGCTTATTAAAAAAGCAAATTGGAACGAATATTCTCAAATAGTCTCTATACCTAATCCTGAAGACTTTAACAACATTGAAGAAGCCGTAAATGCAGTCACTAATTCCATCTTGCTCGCTGATCATGAAACCATCCCAAGATCTAAAAGTCGTAAGCTATCCAAAGTGGTTCCATGGTGGAATGAAGATATACGGGTAGTGATATTAGACCGCAAAAGAACTCTAAGAAATTTTCAAAGATATCCTACTCAACAAAACCTAATAGAATTTAAAAAAATTAGAGCTAAGGCGAGAAGAATAATCAATGAAGCAAAGAAAAGGGCTTGGGAAGATTATGTATCTACTCTCACTGCGGATACCAATGTAAGTGAAATTTGGAAAAAAATTAAAATTATAGCAGGTAAAAACAACAACCTAATTCCACAGGCATTAAAAATCAATAATGAGTTTGTCACCGAAATCGAAAATATATGTGAAGCTTTTGCTGACCATTTTGAGGCTGTGAGTAGCTCTCAAAACTATAATTTAGAATTTCAAGAATTGAAATTACGAGAAGAAGCTTATCCCTTAAAATTTGATACAAGCATAAAGTTGCAATACAATGAACCATTTATTTTATAAGAGCTGGAACATGTTTTAGGATCTTGCAACGAAAGTGCAGCGGGTTCCGATTCTGTTATGTACGGAATGATATATCACCTCTCAAGGAACGATAAATGTAATATATTGAAGCTTTATAACAAAATTTGGCTTTGTGGAAGTTACCCCAGCAACTGGAAAACAGCCATTATTATCCCTATCCCTAAATTTAATGCATCCTAAAAATTATCGACCTATATCTCTCACATCATGCCTGGGAAAAATATTTGAAAAAATCATAAATTTAAGACTCACCTGGGTATTGGAATCCAAATCTTTCCTTTCAAAGCGCCAGTTGGGTTGTCGACGTAACCACTCCACCATTGATGCATTAGTGGCTCTGGAACATAGTATTCAAAATTCCTTTTTAAATCGAGAACATCTTGTAGCGGTAATTTTGGACTTGACAAAGGCATACGATATGACTTGGAGGTATGCAATATTAAAGCAACTTCACCTTTGGGGATTTAGAGGAAATTTGCCATCAGTCTTATGCAGTTTTGTTTTAGATAGACATTTCCTTGTAAGAGTTGGTAATCAAGAATCATCTCGAAAAAGGCTGGAGAATGGAATACCACAGGGATCAACTCTTAGTGTTACTCTGTTCGCGATAGCTAGCAATTGTCTTGTAGATAATATCCCTGATAGTATCGAGGCTGTCTTATATGTTGACGACCTTACTGTTTACAGCCACGGCCACAATATGAACGTTTTGGTATACAACCTGCAAGAAGAAATAAATAGATTAGAGGAGGTTGCAAAATCTCGAGGTTTCAAGTTTTCTGCTCCAAAATCTCACGCCATCCATTTCTGTAGACTAAGATCTCCTCATCTAGATGCTTTATTATATTTAGAAAATAGGGAAATTGAAATCGTAGAACAATTCAAATTATTAGTTGTTTTTGACAAAAAATTATATTGGAGTAACCACATCGAGTACCTAACCACGAAATGTCGCAGAATCATTAACGTAATGAAATGTATGGCAAGCATTAGATGGGGTTCGGAAAGAGAAATACTATTAAGAGTATATCAAACTCTTATCCAATCAAGAATAGATTATGGCAGCATAATCTATGGGTCTGCTAGGCCATCTAAGCTAAAACCACTCGACAGAATTCAGAATTCAGCTCTGCGCTTAGCCACAGGCGCTTTTAGAACGAGCCCTATAGAAGCATTACTATGTGAAGCAGCTACTTTACCCTTGGGTCTGCGTCGTGATATCCAAACAATTGTATATGCTACAAAGGTACAATCTCTGCCTCAAAACTTAAACCACCATATTGTTTCGAACAAAGACAACCCGTACACTATTCGACCTACAGCAACAAGACCTTTTAACAAAAATATGGCCTATCGGTAGTAAGTGAAGTGGGAATCAACCAACACAATATTGCTCCATGGACGAGGCTCCCTCCAAATTGCAACACTGCCCTAAGTAAGTGGAAAAAGGAGACAACTTCAACATCAACATATCGTTCATTATTTTCTGAACAAGTTCATCGTTTTAATGACCACTTAATAATATACACCGATGGATCCAAAACTGATATATAGGTACAGGAGCTGCCATAGTAACAAATAACCAAATCTTCTCATGGAGTTTAGGGTTAGTATACAGCATTTTTAATGCTGAACTTTATGCAATATGGCAGGCACTTTTGTTTTTCTTATTAAGTGAAAACAACAAATGCCTAATATGTACTGACTCGTTAAGTGCTGTAACTTCTCTGAAAGACCTTTTCTCTTCAAATGATTTAGTAGTAAGGATTTTGGAATTAACCACAGATTTAATTTATCGAAAAAAAGAGGTGACACTCATGTGGATCCCAGGCCATTCTAGCATACTAGGAAATGTCCTAGCTGTCTCTGCTGCCAGAAACGCAACATTTGGTGCCACAGATGAAGGAATTTCTATACCACTCAATGAAACCACATTAAAAATAAAATATACTCTACATGGCAAACTAAGTGGAATAACTATGATGGACTACTAAGAGTCTCTAAACCCAGTATCCAAAAGTGGTTTTACCCTAAAGAATTAACAAGACAAGAACAAGTCGTTTTATGTCGAATAAGAATAGGACATACAAATATAACTCACCTGTACTTTCTCGCAGGTTCAGCACGACCAAGATGCGATTATTGTAGAGAAAGGCTAACAGTACCACCAAAGATACGAACACAAAGAAATTCCATTCAGTTATCACCTGAAATTGAAAATGCGTTAATAAATGATCATGACAAAATAAAGAGATTACTTACTTACCTCAAACATATCAATATGTTAAGTAAAATATGCAAAAATTACATGCGGCGAAAAATGGAGCTAATGACCCCGGTCGAAGCTCCAAAAAAAAAAAAAAAATAATAATAATAATAATAACAATAATAATAATAATAATAATAATAATAATAATAATAATAATAATAATAATAATAATAATAATAATAATAATAATAATAATAATAATAATAATAATAATAATAATAATAATAATAATAATAATAATAATAATAATAATAATAATAATAATAATAATAATAATAATAATAATAATAATAATAATAATAATAATAATAATAATAATAATAATAATAATAATAATAATAATAATAATAATAATAATAATAATAATAATAATAATAATAATAATAATAATAATAATAATAATAATAATAATAATAATAATAATAATAATAATAATAATAATAATAATAATAATAATAATAATAATAATAATAATAATAATAATAATAATAATAATAATAATAATAATAATAATAATAATAATAATAATAATAATAATAATAATAATAATAATAATAATAATAATAATAATAATAAAAATAATAATAATAATAATAATAATAATAATAATAATAATAATAATAATAATAATAATAATAATAATAATAATAATAATAATAATAATAATAATAATAATAATAATAATAATAATAATAATAATAATAATAATAATAATAATAATAATAATAATAATAATAATAATAATAATAATAATAATAATAATAATAATAATAATAATAATAATAATAATAATAATAATAATAATAATAATAATAATAATAATAATAATAATAATAATAATAATAATAATAATAATAATAATAATAATAATAATAATAATAATAATAATAATAATAATAATAATAATAATAATAATACCTGGGGGGGACACCTCTAACCACTACCAGGCCTAGCCGGTGGGTAGGAGATAAACTCCCGCGGACCAAGAGGATTGCAGAGAGAGACTCCCTTTGGGCCGGGGACCACTATAGTATAATAGGCCCAGACCTGGGAGTAAACCCGGTTAAAAAAATACGCAACCTAAGGTGTTAACCGAACCGTGTCGATGGGTGCATGATTCTGCGAAGTGAATCTCAAACGGTGGCTACGAGTACCTGGCGTCCCCTCGTTAGTAACTAGCCTTGCTTTGGCAGGGAGCACTGCCAGAGTCGACTTACATT